AAAGGGGGCATGGTTTGAATAAATATGACTTGTATGAGCTAAGTTTTCAAGTTACATGCATCCACCTGAAACACTAGACCTGAAGTTTTTGCAGAGACTCCAAATTACATTTAATCTCTGTTCTTTTATGCATCCTTCAGCTAAATCAGAAATCTAAATATGTGATCTAGCAGAGAAAGCATGAAATTTTGCAACACTTCCTGAGGAGTTGGGATCTATAAATTAATAAATGGCTTGCACTCAACCATGTGCTATATATAGGTTTTCCATTCATGACAGATATAATATTGATAGTATCATTCATTAACATTTAATAATAACCTTTATTTAATAACTAATCCAAGTATAATTTAATACAGTATAAATTTAAAATATTCGTCATCTTGCTTTGCTGTTTCAGAAAACCATAAAAGAACAAAACAGAGCAGAAATTGCTACCAAAAATATATTGTAATGCCTATTAGTTAGATTATGGAGAGACAATGAGTTTACCATGAAACCGGGTTCAATCCTCCAAACATTCACTATACGATTTACTACTCAAAATTGTTCCATTCCAGATAATAAGAGAAATCAGTAAGGTTTTAAAATGTGTAACTGCAAAATTGGCTAAAAGTGTCTATTTGTGTCTCTCTTCGTACTGTACTTCATACTAAGCACAAGTCAAAAATTTACCTTTCAGATTTAAGTCGTCAGAATGGGCCCTTAAATTTAGTTCACCGTGGACTTCTCTATATAAAATGAAAAAAATTGGGTTTCACTATTAAGTTCTATCAAAGATTTTCTCCCAGAATAAGCAGTTTAGACTATTAGCACCCATTGTGTCTAGTAATATATCCTCTCATTGTAATGGGGAGGGGGCACATTAAAGCTGTCCCAAGAATGGCCCGACAATAGGCACAGGATTTTGGATACACCACTGAGGAAAACTAGTCCTGGTAATGTGAGACTTCTGCATATTTCAGAGGTCATCTCTTGGCCACAGCAAAGTTCCCACTTTCATCCAATACCTCTAATTAAGCTAGACTTAAGGCAACATTCTACAACACAGGGAAGCTAATATGGAATTACCAGTTAATTGTGTCCACACCACTCTTTTACCAGGAATTGTTAGCCCCTGTCCTGACATCATTTTATTTTAAAGTTTTCACATTTGCCATGGTTTATAATTTTGGTAGCAGAAAAGTATCATTCTATAGGGCAAATCTTGGTGTAAGAAAAAAAGGCTAATTAAATACCAGCACCAAACACTGGATTTCAGAAGCTGGAAGAAAAAAATAAATAAATATGACCCCTTTTACAAGTTTCTATTTGTTCTGTCTTATAAAGTCTAACCTTAAGGTACATGAATATACGTATAGTATCAGGATGGGTCTCTTGGTACAAGTGAATACTTGCCACCTTTAAAACAGCTAATTATTAGGGTGCGTGGGTACTGAAATATTTATTTTTCTGAGTAACTATTGGAGACTGTCAGTTCAGATGCTTCCTACCCAAAGATAATACCTGGATTTGGCTAGATTTTCAGATAGAAAACAAGGTAGGAGTGGCAAAGAGCAATGCTCTTTTCTTTAAAAACAGCCTTTTCATCTTTCTTGCTCAACAGTTGCACAAGAACAAAACTTCAAAGAAATCTAAGAGGAGGAGGAAAGTCCAGCAAAAAACCCACTCACTTACCCAATTATTTTTTTTAACTTGGAACTAGAAGTATGAAAGTAAGCCAGTGATGCATTGGTTTCTTACTGGAATAGAGGAACCCTGATGTAAGAATGTCTATTCTTTGAACAGTATCAATCCGTGTAGACTTCTGAAATATCCCCAGGGACCTACCCTGCTGTCACAGGTTCTCAGAAGTCCTCTATTACATTTCTGCAAGCCTTGCTATTGGGAACACAGATGAAAAAATATAACTTATTCCAAAACACCAGTAAGCCTGTGATATAGAGAAGTCTATATTTTAAGAAAAGAAAAGAGATGAGAGTCAGTATTTCTTTTCCAAGATCACTGATTGCATTGTGTACTTTATATGCTGTAAAAGAATTACATAAAATAAGGAGTATGTGGGAAATGCCTGACTTGGGACAGAAATTGCAAGGTAGCAGGAACCCTGTTAAGAAAAGGATCTTTGCATTTCTTGGGAAAGACATTGTGACACAGACTGCTATTTGCAACTCCCTGTAGGCTACACCCAATTCACACACTTGCCCTGCCTGACTTTGTAAGATTACAGTAACAAAAATGAGATCAACCTGATAATGCTAATGAGCTGGATTCAAAGAGTAATGAAATCAGTGGAGAGGCACCCACTGGTTTCAATTGGTGTTGGGGCAGGGCTAATTAATGCACTGCTGATTAAAAATACATTGATATGTTTTGCAGATATTGGATTAAACTCTGGCCAGAACATTCCTACAAAGTAGAGAACAGAAAAATATCTTGGATAAAATCCTAAACAACTCCACTTTGTCTCCAGGAGAAATGTATTATCTACATAAAGGTCACCTGTTTCTTCAGCTGATTTAAATCAGGCTAGTTCATCTATTTTAGTGGAACCTTGTGCCTTATAACAGCTGATGAGCTGGCATGTCAACAAAATTATAGCAAATATCAAAAGGGTTTTGTTACTTATGCAAGTACCAGGCTTCAAAATGCTCCCGGTAAAAATATTTTCTATTTTAAACCTTAGGACTGTTTTTAAACACACTTGTGGGGATGAACTACTGATGTTTGTTTTATTTCTTTATCTGGCCAGTTTCCAAATCAGTTAATTACTTTCTGCCTACCTAAATTCCCCCTGCAGCTTCAGTTGGCTATGGGATTTTGCTTCACTTCCTGTCCTGAACTGTTGTGTAATGGCACCATGCTCTGTTAAACAACTGCTGCATTTGTCCTCAGAGATAGCTGTGCTTAAGTGGTAGATTAAGTGATTACTGTATAAGATCTGATGCTGTCAGATGCTATGTGTTTTCTGGAAGGTCCTTAGCATCCTCCTTTTCAGACCCCAGAACTGAGATAAGGTTATTAGGAGCTTCTTTTTAGCTAGTTGCTTTATACTGGCCCTTAGATTTTTGCTGTATGTTTGGAAAGCCCTTTAGAAGACAATCTAGTGTGCCCATCTGAATAAGAGCTTCAAGATTCCTTTTTTTGTTGTTTTTTTTCTTTTGCCTCCATTTTAAATGTGTCTGGGGTTTTTTTTAATTCAGTTTCTTTAAGGCTGATGATCTTACAGTGAGACTTTCTGAAGAGATTTGCTTGCTCTGGGATTGTCAAACTCTGAGCTCTAGCTTTAATTCACTCCATATAGGAGCACATGCAAAATTCTCAGGCTCGCTCACTCTGACACCACTACTATTTCTCATGCTATTTTTATCTGTCTTCCCAAGGCTCACAAGTAAAGTGCAGCATGTCAATTTCTAATCAATTGCTCATCAATGTTGTGCATCTTGAAGGTTTTAGTGATATCTTTTCAACCTGCTTTAGCTGATCTTTATATAGAAGCTTTAAAAATGGTGCTTCTTGCATTGGAATTGGTAAATCTAAATGATTGCTATTCCTTATTCACAATCAGCAGTGTACTTTACAGAATCACAATTTATGCCTATAAACTACCCTATATTATTTATTTGTGACATGCCTGTGACAGAGTCAAGATTCTATGCATAACAAATATAAAAATGGTGCCTGCACTGGGGTGCCTGAAATGTGTAGGGAGCATAAGTTTGTGGTTGAGATACATATATAGGACTCCAGAAACTATGGTTTAATTTTGTTCTTTGATAGAGGTTTATTTTCTGACCTTGAGCAAATCACTTGGTCTTTCTCTGTCTTCATTGCTAAAACTGGGATTTGTAATATTTCCCTGACTCATGCATGTTTTGCTTTTTAAATACATTCACTAAGTCTTACGAGGTGCCCTTTATGTAATTGGTAAAGGGAATAACAAGCATGCAGATGAAGCACAGAGAAAGACAAGACAGAGGAGATGCAGAGAATGGTAGCAATCTCCTTTATATAGCACAAGTATTACTTTTAAACAGATGGTTAGCCATGTTAGTCTCAAGTCAAGTGGAAGGTAGGACAGGGTGGTACCTTAAAGACTAACCAGTTTAGACAGAATCATAGGGCTGGAAGGGACCCCAAAGGATCATTGGTTCCAGCCCACTGTATGAGCAAGAAAGACATATGGGGTCAGGTGACCGTCCAGTCTTCTCCTGAAAACCTCTAGGGTTGATGATTGCACCACCTCTGCAGGGAGCTTGTTCCATAGTCTGGACACCCTAGTGGTGAAAGTTTTTCCTAATGTTCAGCCTGAAACTATGTTCCAGGAGTTTGTGGCCACTGTTTCTAGTTTTCCCCCAGGTGCCCTGGTTGTTCACCGAGCCCCTGATATAAGCCTCTGATATAGCGGTAAGCTGCAATTGGGTCCCCTCTCAGCCTTCTTTTCTTTCGGCTGAAGAGTCTGAGATCCCTCTACCTCTCCTTGTATGGTTTGCCTTGCAAGTCCTTTATCATACAGGTGGCCCTTCTTTGGACCCTCTAGAGCTTTAGCACACTCTCATTGAAGTGCAGCACCCAGAACTGGATGCAATACTCTAGCTGCGGCCACACCAATGAGTTAGAGGCATGAGCTTTCATGGGCAGCAAGTTACTTTCTCAGATTCTAGGAATGACTTGGACTATAAGGAATGGTGTTCTTTTACTAACTTCTGACAAAGTATATTTTTGCCTGCTCATGCCCCTCTGACCCAGTTTGTCTGTAAGGGGCCACCCTGTGCTACCTTCTTTTACATTTAATTAACATTTTACACTTCAGGCAAGATGGCCCAAATCCAACTTTCACCCCCAGAAGCAGAGGTCATCTACTGGTGACATAACAAGTTTATTCTCTTCCACAAAGTGAGCAGGCCTTAATGAGGAACGATGTTACCAAGGTGTGTGTCCCTATGACCGGCCCTATGCCATTCAAGTTCCTAATGCTAATGATTATACCGGGCAAAAGGATCCATTCTTATCTATCTCCTTCCATCTTCCCCACATAGTGGAAGAAGACTGAGGGTCTACAAAGATTATTCCACTTTCTCACAAGTCTCCCCAGGCATCAGTAATTCCTGCACTTACACTAGGATGTCATGTAAAGAACTCTCAGAGAACTTGACTTCACTGTAAACTGGGGATCTCTTCTATCTTTCTGCTTTCTACTCCTCTTCAGAACCCACCCCTGTCCATTTTGCAGTTGTATAAGCAGCTATAAGCAATAAGTATAACTACTATGCACTATCTGATTTACAGATTAGATTGAAATGGCTTACCTATGACTTGTGAAATTCCTGCCTGCACAGCTGTTCTGTGGTCACATTGCCTCAATCATCTGCTGATTGCTACGTCAGATGCACTCTCCCCACCCACAACACAGAGGGAGGACTTTTTGTTAAACAGGTTTATACACTTGGCATGATAACCAAGTTGTGGGGAAAAATCTCTCCCAACTGATCATACCACATTTAACAACTTCCGCTCCTTGATTACTGAGGAAATCATTAGAAGAAGAAAGTGTGTAGATCTTTCATCGTGCCTGCAAAAATTTAAGGGAGGTCAGGACTGGTAAGGGAAGGAGAGGTCTGATCAGTCATTTAGTTTTCTTAAGAGCTATTATTCCACTATTTCCTCTATCTTGCTTATTGTCTGCCTCTTAATTACTTCCATATCAAGCTCTTTAACTCCAGAGTGCAATCTTCTGCAGGTTTTAAAGGCTTCCTATGAGTCTGTCTGGAAACCTCAGTTATGATCCCTTCCTTACTTGCATCTCTCAAAAGTACTTTAATATTTCCTTTAGAAAACAGATCCAATAATGGAAAAAAACCCTTTTCATTTATGTTTATATTTCAGCAGTCTAAGCAATCTCATTGATGTCAGTGAAGCTCCAGATTATTTAAGTGAGGCACAGGTATAATTCTTTGCAGAATCCAGGCCATGCTGTAGTTCCATTGGATTCCCTAAAACACTAGAAGATCGACTCCCAACACAATAGTTTGGGCCATTTCTGATTCTTCTGGTTCTGACTCCAGTAGTTCATAAAATTCTGAAGTTAAGTCAGGTTATCATAGAAAGTTAGGGTTGGAAGGGACCTCAAGAGGTTAAGAAATACTGCATTTGAGATAGAATGAAAATAAGTCACTCCAGTGAATGAGCATGTATTTGTGATTCCTGTTATCCATTATGATTTAATCTTCAAAAAGGGAAGTGGTCTGGAGCAGGGACAGTCTTTTTTTACTCTGTGCTTGTACAGTATCTCATATAATAGAGTTGTGATGAGGGCTTCTAGGCATATTCCTAATACAAATAATACATCCTTTAAATTTTGTTTTGTCTCAGCCAAACTTTCATAGTAGGCAGATACAGTTTTCAATATATACAGTGAAGCACCACCAAATTCCATTTTGTCAGTGCCTACTTCATCTATGTGTCTAAATAGCATATGTAGATATCCAGCTACACTGCTTTCATATACAAAATTTGGTTTATAATTTCAAACCTAGATGAATCAATGCTGAAGCCATAGATATTAACTGTGCAAAACAGAGTAACCACACATGTAAAAGTAAAAATCTACACTTCCAGTTTTGGAAACTGGGTTGAAGACCTCTTAAAAATCTGACCTCCTTGGAAATAAACTGAAATTCGTTGGAGTCTATGACTAAAATGGTAGAATTTAGATTTAATTGCTCCACACAAAATCTTCCAAATGTTAGGAAAAAAAAGTTTAGTATCTCTATTTGGGTGTTTTGTGGTGCTGTGGAAGACAGTGTTGAGCTTTTAAACTGTAAATAAGGAGGATGATTTTTTTACAACTTTGGCTCGTTGCAGTGTTTGATATAGAAGAACTTTAACTTTGACATTTAGACATCCTTATACTGGAACAGAAAAACATTGTAATTAGCTGAAACTGGTGTCCACTTTCCATAATGAGAATAATTTTCAAGCAGAATCATTTATGATGGCAAAGAATAGAACTTCGGACCATTTTTTAAAATATGTTCCTGTACAATCTTCAATGCTGTGATCACAGAGCTATGCATGGGCAAAACTCTCGCCACCTCAGAACTCATTGGAGGATGAAGTGCCTAATTTTGTGCAGACTGTTAAACTCTCACAGTTAGCTTAAAGTATAGCTAATTATGCACCTAAATAAAAACTATACTCCCTATGAATCTTAGGCACAGAATGAGGTTTAGAGTGAAGACCCTTTTCACCAACCTGAGGATTTTAAATGAACTAGGCTGACTCTTGTAATTGGTGAGGAAAAGGTATATGTGATGCTTACCATAGATCTTCAAAGGAATAAAGGAGGGATTAAGTCTGAATGAGAAAAGCTGAGACAAAAAAGAGCGAACATGGTTCTTCACATCCCTTTCACACGGGCCAAACATACCTGTCTACCTCAGAAACAGGGGACCCCTGAGAATAGATTTTGGTGAGTTTACTTTGTTTCTTTTTTCTGTAGCAAACTTCCTGATGACACAGACCACTCATTATCGATTAATTTTGCTGTTGGTGTTTCTATATCTTCTGCTTTTATGTTCATATTTCCTGTGCCAGGAAATATTTTGGGCCCTGCACCTAGTGCTAATACATGCAATAATTACAATTCCCCTTCACTGCATCATATTTAAAGGTGTAAGCTTCTCATTCCATCTCCTTAAGGCAGATTACTTAGGAGAGAACCTCACATTACAGATGGAGTTGCTGTGATCCCATTAACTGAACAGTAAGGAGAGCATCTGAATCACAGACTCCAGAGCATACATAAGCCCTTATCTCATTAAAAGAAAAGCTGACAAGTCCATACCACATGGGTGTAACCTTGGGTATACCTCTGGACATCAGGCTCTGTCAGGCTGTATGTGTGATTGCAGGGTGGAATGGAGGCCTTGTGGCAAGGTCTCTTGGGGGACCATATCCCCCCATGCATGTGCTTCCTTGTACTTGCAACCATCATGGATACGTCATGGCCTGACATGTTCTGAAGATGCCATGTGGGACAAATGAATGAAATGCAGTACTGAAAGAAAGTAAGAGACCTGGCAACTTAAAATGAAGTGGATTAATTAAATGATCTATGTATTTGCCAAGGGTAATTCTAACAGGAAGCCCTCAGGGTTACAATTTCATATGGACTTTAAGAAGGAAGGTTTTATTTCCTGAGATACTTTATTTCTTTTTATAAATGCTACTGTAGACTTCTTATAGTCCTGGCTTTGGTTTTGGCTGCCTGCTTTCAATACCCAGCAAAAACAGACAGTAGGGTAGTGACATTGCATTCATGTCCCTTTTCAATGTTACATCATTGGCTTTTATGTATGCAGCTTATGGATCAGAGGCTGCCAACAATCTGGGAATTAGTGACCTGGGTTTTATAGCTCTACCACAGATTCAGTTTGCTGTCTTGGATCCCACCTCCCTCTGACTCACCTATCCATTTTCCAAAGTAGTGGACTGGTGTAATTTTTACACTAGTATTGAGTAATCCTGATACATGACAGTCTGATTATACTGCTACTACAGTCTGGGCTACTGCTGCTATAGCAATTTAAGATTAGTGAAACTGTTAATTTTTAACCCTGAAATAAACAGGGTTAAAATTACAACAGTTTTGCTCTTATCCCACTACCAGAGAAGCAATATCAGAGAAGCTGATGCATACTCTGAATGGAGACCCTCCCTCCTTTTTCAAAAACAGTTGTAATTTATGCCTATTCACAGCAGTGGGTGACTTGACCTTGATTTTAGCAAGGTTTTGATATGGTCTCCCACAACATTCTTGCAGGTAAGCTAAGGAATCATTAGCTATCCTGATGTCACAGATTAGCTGAGTTGTGACATTTTTTTTCCACTAGCTAGGTGATACCATAATAAAGCACAAACTGAAGCGCACACATCCCATTCCTTATTTAAGGGATAAGGGGAAGTTTATTCTTAAGCAGGGAAAATGTAGCAAGCCAACTCTTACAGCACCTGTGTTTACTTTTCCAAATTCTGAAGACCAATTTTGTATGTAGAAAATTGCCCAAAGGATTTTAAGTGCTAAACATCTCAAGACTGGCACCGCTGTAGCTCGGATGCAGCTCAGTCTGATGTCACCATGATCTTCCACACGTAGCTAAACTTCCCTGCAAAAAAGGGGGAAATCTGAAACTGATATCTCTGAAATCCTTGATGTAGAAAAATCTGAAATATTAAAAAAAAACAAACAAACCCAAAAACTTTAAAAAAGCCCAACAGACTTTATAAAACATAAAGGGGAGTTAGGCACACTGCCTTATTTTTCAGTATAGGACCCCTTTTGAAAGAAAACAACAAAAGAGAACCAAGCCATTGAGATCAACAGAGTTAGACTTAAATCAGGAAGAAAGGCATTCTCCTCACCTTTGAAAAAAAAACACTCAGTCCTTGGGTTTGTATTCTTGAGGACAGGAAGACTGATAAACTCACCAATCCCTTCATTTCTTTTTCAATTTAAGTAAAACCTATTTCATAACCAAGGTAAAAGATGGCATTGTAGGCAAAGATGCCAGTATTGAGCTGAATTTTGCTATAAACATTTAAACTTTGCTTCTGAAAAATGTAAAAGAAAGACTAGGACTCTGAAGATGTTTCAGTGGGTCTGAGAGAGATCCTTCCCCTGGCATGCTTTTAAAAATACTTGTCACTGAGAGAAATCTGGTTCATTCCATGGGCAAAAAAGTTGTTTTTAAGGAGAAATATTTTGTGAACTGCAGGGATAATTTGTCATTTCCAGCATTCAATCTTATCTGTTGTGGGGACAGGGATTCCTATCACAGGAAGATAGTCATCTCAAATATCTTTATAAATTTGGCAAAATTTGCATAAGAGGTCACATAAAGATACCTTTAGCTTGGCAGTAGCTATACAACTTGAATATCCATATATTGGGATGTTTTGTATCTTGCCCAGAGACCAGCTAGATCAATAGGGGGCATGTACAGACGTCAGACTTAGACCAGTCTAAGTGAACATATATCAATCAAAACCCATAACTGTACAGAAGTTTGATGCACATAGACCACATGCGAGGTACACTCAATTGAAATCAATTCATGTTAAACCAATGTTTCATAGTTTCATAGTTTCTAGGGTTGGAAGGGACCTGAGTAGATCATCTAGTCCGACCCCCTGCCATGGCAGGAAAGAGTACTGGGGTCAAACGACCCCAGCAAGGTGTTCATCTAACCTCCTCTTAAAAACCCCCAGGGTAGGAGCCTGCACCACTTCTCTTGGAAGTTGGTTCCAGATCCTAGCCGCCCTGACCGTGAAGTAGCACCTCCTGATTGAATGTATTGAACCTATGTGCTGTTTCCCTATCAGTTCAAGTTTAAATCAATGTTCACCAGCATCCTGGCCTGCTTTGTGCCCTCCCCCCCCACCCCTTCCCTCATACGGTAGTGCACTCAGCCAGTGGTTGGCTGCTCTAGCCAGGCCCTAAGCTAGCTCCACCCCAGGCTGTCTCAGTACTGAGAAAGCACAGCCCTTCTCCCCAGCTCTGCCTCCAGCCACCTGTCAGCCATGGAGTGTGGTATTTGTGTCTCCTACCCAAGTCCCTGGGTGGGAGACACAAACCCTCAACACCCTGTCATGAAGCACCACATGACATACACACAGACCCCAACACTGAGCCCAGGAGAACTCTGGTGCTTGGGCACAGCCCCATAGACCCAAGCCCTAGCATCCGCACACAAGCATCCACACCCACAGCCAGGGACACCCATGCCCCATGCTTTGGCACAGACCCCAGCCTTGGCACTTGCATGCCACATCTTAGAGGCCAGAGGTAGGGTCCATGCAGCCTGGACCCTAGCATAGATCCCCACCCCACCCCCACATCCTCCCAAGCAGGAGATGGTGTGAGCAGGGCACCTCTGGTGGACCAGGGTGGTAGGGGGCAGAACATCAGGACTGGGCCTGCACTGAAGTGACCCTGTGACCTCTGTGGCTTGGCCAGTGCTGGCAGGTACCCAGGCCATGTGTACCTAGGGTGCTGCAATAGTTTTTGGGCCCACAGCTGCAGAGTTCCAGAGTACTAGGTATAGGGGGTCGGGGAAACTGAACATCCAAGCTAGGGCAAACAGGCAGATGCCCCTGGAAACTTCAGGAGCAGCTGGGGTGCGTCCAGCTACCTCAGTGTTGCAGGAGGAGGTCACTGGAAACTTCCAGGCTGGAGTGTGGGGTGTTGCCAGCCGCATGGGGTATCTGCTGAAAAGTTTGAGGTTGTAGGAGTGGTGTGACCAGTGCAGCCCCAGTCACTCTGGAGCAGGGGGTGGACCTACCTGGAGTGAGCAGGGAGAGTCACATGCTGAAACCCACATCTACCTGCACCCACTATTCCATCCATCGAACCACCCATCTATCTCCTCACAGCTGGACCCTTACCCATCTGTAGATACCAAGATCCCATGGACACTACCATGGACCATGGAAGACCCCAACCTATCCTTCTCCAGTACCCAACCCTAGTTGCACAGCGAGATGAGGGATCTTGTCACCATCTGAAGAGAGCAGGAGACCTAGGACCAGTTCTGCAAAGGGCATTGTAGCAGGGACATGTTCAAGCACATTGCCCAACAGTTGCAAGTATGGGGCCACAACTGAGATTGTGTGCAGTGGTGGACCAAGACAAAATAAATGATCCAGTACAAGCATGTGCAAGATGCTAATAAAACATCCAGGAAGAGGAGGCACAGCATGGCCTTCTATAAGGAGCTGCCTCACTTCCTCACCATGGACAGGGCCATTGCCACCCTGCACATGTACACCACTACTGGAGAGCAGGAGGAGTTGGCAGCAGGGACAGCACTATAGGAGGATATTCAGGAAAGCCCTGGGACACCAGACAACTGGATGCCCAGAAGCAGGTCCCTGGGGGCCATAGGGTGCAAGGTTTTCTGATGGCACTGGTCCCAAGGACTCTGGTCCCCACAAAATCACAGGATCTAGATTCTGAAGTGCACCTGCAGCTGGACCTTCACTAGCACCTGAATCCCCACCCACACACGCAGAGTGCTCCCTAGCCCTGACTGCCAGCACAGTGGCTGCTACTGCAGCACCATCCACAGCACCCATGCCCAAGCCCTTCCCCCCATGCCTGGTAAAGGCTCTGGCACTGAGCAAGGACACTCTCCTGCCTGGGATGGTACAGCTGCACCAGGCTCCACATGGCACTGGGGAAAAGCAAAGCCCCCAGGGGGAAGAGACGGAAGAGAAGCAGATGGGCAGCGGGTGTGTCTTCTTCATGCCATATAACCCCACATCCCAGCACATGCCCCTTAGGGTAGTGCTGGCAGGGGAATGGTGTCCAAACAGCCCAGGTTGTAGGTGGTGTCAGGACACTGAGTCAGAGGAACTGGGTCACGAGATTCATTGCCCAGTGCTAGGGCACAAGCACTCAGGGACTCAAAGTTCTGTGGCCATGCTAATCGGGGGAGCACTCCCAGTCCCCGTGGGCCAGGAGGTAGTTGGCCAGGGCTTTGCAGACACAGATTTCCTGCTTGTGTGTGGGGTCAGTGCTCCTAACATCAGCCAGAGGCTCTACTTTCCCCAGCCTCCCTATGCTGTACATTTCCAGCATGCCATGCCTAGTCTGCGTGCTGTGCCTCCTTTGCCCAGGCTTCACAAAAGACCTCCCCCTCTGATCTCCCAGATGTTGTGGATGACACACATGACAATGATGAGGTATGACAGGTGCTCCTTCACCACCATGAGACACATGCTGAGAGTATGCCAGAGTGCCTTGAGGTGGCTGAAGGCACATTCCACAGTCATGTGGCACCTGCTTAAGCAGTTGTTGAAGTGCTCCTTTTGGTGGTGCAGTTGACTCATAGAGGACTTTATGAGCCAGGGCAGGAGGGGGTAAGTAAGCTGGGTCCCTGATGATGAGGGGAGGGAATAGGATGGCACCAATAATGAATCTGGGAACCCCAGGATTATAGTACCCTCTGGGGGATTGGGGGGGGGGGGTTGGCAGAAA